GGAACTGTTAGGGGGTAAAAACGATACCAAAGATGAAGGGCTGGCGGGGGGGGGGGGGGGTGGAACGGGGAACGGAGAAATTAAGGATCCAGCAAGACACGAGAGTAATAAAGAACTTGGAAAATAATAAAAGTGCAGGGGAAAACGGAGTTAATCAAAGAAAGGGGAGGACGGCTACAAGAGAGAATCTGCGAACTAATAATAAGAGTATGGAAAGAAGAGGTAATCCCAGAGCAGTGGAAGGGTGCGGTGCTGTGCCCAATATACAAGGGAAACAGGAGAAGAGATAGAGAAATAGAAACAGGAATTACAAAAGAAAACAGAGCCCTAAGTTAAGGCTAAGGAAGGTCGGAATTGATAGCGAGAGAGACCAAGGTAAGAGTGTACAAAACAGTCATCCGCCCGGTGGTGCTGTATGGAACCGAAACGTGGATAATGAAGAAAAAGGAGGAGGAGGAACTGGAAATATGGCAAAGGACAGTACTGAGAACGATATATGGAGGAGTAAGAAACGAGGAAGGATTGTGGAGGCGAATAACAAATGCGGAAGTTATGGATAAGTACGGACAACCCAGCATATCCTAAATAGTAAGCGCACAAAGAGCAAGAATGGCGGAGAACAGACATGCCAAGAGAGTGTTGTTTGGGGAGAGGGAAGAAGGAAGAGCTATAAAGATTAGTTGACTTTGTTTTTATTAATTTTGTGTTATGCGATATAGACATAAATGGAATGTATAATTATTTTGTAAGCCACAGGCCACAATGGTCTGTAATGTTAAAATATATATAGCCAGATAGGTCATAGGGAGCCATAATAATATGTTGACCATTTTCTTACTCCTTTTTTATACTCCACTTTCGTTGGGAAAGTGTCCAAAACCTTTGCTTGGATTCACGACGCAATTCCTCGCAAGGGAGAAATTGTGAAAGAATGATTAATGCAGTATGGTTGAAAAATCAAACACGACCATAAGCCGACACTAAAACTTAAGTAGCTGTTCATATGTAAATTGTCAGTTTTACATATTTATCACAGTTCTAGCTCTTTCTCGCGCTATTATCTTAATTGCCAATCTAACTTTAGGAAATGTCGTTTACCAAAGTTATCATCATTGGATCGTGTTTTCGTGGAGATTTGTGTTTTGGGCGGCGGTAATCAAAATGTTGCGATTGCAAACTAATTTCTTTGGGTCTTCTTCTTCAAATGAGATGAAAACCTGCTTTTAGGAAGAAAATCGAAATACTTCGTGAAGGAATCGAAAGTATAATTTGTTG